AACCTGTTCTCACCTCAAATTGCCCAAAAAATGTAAAAATAATAATAAAAAATTGACCTGTTCTCTAAATCGTCTGAAAAAATGTAAAGATAATAATAAAAAATTGACCGTTTTCCAAATCGCCTGAAAAAAAATGTAAAAAATAATTAATAAAATTGACCTATTCCTATTCCAAATCACTTAAAAGTTCATCATTCATCATTATTCATTATAGAATCATTTTTACTTTTTTTAACAGCAGATGAAACTCCCTTTTGACTTTAGTATATTTCTCAGTTTCAGTTACATATTCTTCTGCAGTTGTAACTCCTGCTTCAATCTCAATATCATAGACCATACTAGGTTATGCTTTATATGATCACTTTAGAGTATTATAAAAATATGGCTGGTCATAATGCTGCATATCATCATTGTATTTTCTCTTTCATTAAATTTAAGATGATAATGTTATAACAGCATAAGGATCAAGTATTTTTCTCAGTAAATTTTTCAGCTAAAAGAAGAAAATAAGAAAGAATATTAGTGAAATATATTAAATAAATTTGAAATATGCTAAATTAGATAAAGAAAATAATAAACCTTAACCGATCGCTAAGAATAGTCATATATAGTGATAATGGATCTTTGATGATTTTCTTCATCTATTTCGCTATTTCTAACGAATGTATAGTGATTGCTGAGAATTCAGAATAAAGATCACCTTTCATATTTCACAATTCATTGGTCATTTTTTTTAAAAAAATACTTTGTGGCCTTTACTCGCTAAGCTGTTTTCTAATAAATAATAAATGATATTAAATTATTGATTCAAATAAACCCAAATTCAGAATATATTCTATTTGCTTACTTCATATACTTGATTATTATTATGAATTTATCGTAGCTCTGAAAGACCCTTTCTGCTTTTCTTAATTTTATGAGCTGACTAATGTGACTTATGGAAGGTTTTCAGTCAGTTCATAAGTTGATCAACAGAAGATCAAAAATTCAGAGCTAAGAACTTTTATAATTCTGGAATCAGATTATAATATAATGTGGCATTTTTCTCACTATTAAAAAGTTCATCATAGTTTAAATCATCTTTTGAGCTGATGGTTTTCAAAACCGCTTTCATTTTGGCCTAAATACGAAAAACAGAAAAAAATTAGCTAAAAATTTAAATTATTTAGATATAAATTCAAATATATTCTAGCTCTTTTTGCATTAGTCTCTTCTGTTGTTAAATTATCATTGTCTTCAGAATTATTTACGTCGATTCTAATTTATCATCAGTACAATGCACTGGCTTTTTCCTTTGATTTTGATGACGATTTTCTGATTTTTCTTCATTTTACAGAAGGACTGGCATTGGACTGCTTAAATTATCTGGGCAGTCATAATCTCTCAAATTGGTTAAGTCTTAAATATTAAAAATAAAAATTAGTTATTGTAAATATAGGATATTAATATATGAATTTTTATCTCTCCTGTAAATCTTCATTTTCTTTGCTAAATTCCTCATTTATTTCAACAAGAAATTGGTTTTCCCTCTAGAGATCAGAATTTTGTTACTCTAATTTCTCGATTCTCTTGTAAATTTGGCAAGTTTTTCTTTTAACATTTGATTCTTTATATAGAAATAAAGAAAATATATTGTTAATTATAAAATAATAAATGGAAATAAATCAAAAATAATATATCTGATTCTAAATTATTCGAATCATCAAGAATCTCAAATTCTGCCACAACTGAAGTACTTGCTGTTAGTTATCATCAAAATTTTGATGAGAGCTGAATTTTCCTATATCGTCTTTACATTTCTCCTAAATCTACGTCTATAATTTAAAAAGTTATTTAGTATTAATATAAAAATAGTATTATATTATAATTAACTACCGATCTAAAACAATTAGTTCATCCTCAGATGATATTGTATAGACGCGTTTTTGTCTTTTTCTATTATAAAAAAGCAAAAAAATCAGTTAACGTTTGAAAAATTGGCTAGTTAATTGATAAAATTCAACTTACGTTCTGGCTCTTCATTAGCCAATTTTTTTCATTAGATGCATTTTGTTAGTTTTGTTTGTGATTGAGATTCTATTGTATAAAAACAAAAATATCAGTTATTGTTTAAAAAATTGACTAGTTGATTGATAAAATTCAACTTATGTTCTAGCTCTTCATCAGCTAATTTTTTTTGTTAGAGGCATTTTGTTAATGTTGCTGTTGATTAAGGTTCTATTATAGAAAACAAAAAAAATCAGTTATTGTTTGAAAAATTGATTAGTTGATTAATAAAATTCAACTTACGTTCTTTTTATTCTTGTGACAATTTTTTTGTTTGACGTTTTAGTGGCATTTTGCAAAAAGAGAAATTGTAAAAAGAAGAAATTAAAAGAGAAATTTGATTGTAGAGATAAAGTTTGAGTTGAAATTATTTTTTTAAGAAGTGGAAAAATCAAACTTATTTATATAAATTTTTATATATATGCTAGAAATAAACTCAAATAATTATATCAGATAATGCATTAAATCAATATAATACTTAAAGTAAATCGGAAACAATTATCAATGTAATAAATACTTTAATTATGCATTAAAAAGACTTAAAGTAAATCAGAAACAATTTATCGATATATTAAATCAAAACACATTTAAGTAAATCAGAACAATACTTTTATCATGCATTAAATTAATACAAGATTCAGAAATAATTTATCGATACATTAAATCAAAATACACTTAAAGTAAATCAGAAATAATACTTTCATTATGCATTAAATCAATACAAGATTCAGAAATAATTTATCAATACATTAGATCAAAATGTATTTAAAGTAAATCGGAAACAATACTTTCATCATACATTAAATTAATATAAAATTTGAAAATAATTTATCAATGCATTAGATCAAAATGCACTTAAAGTAAATCAGAAATAATACTTTCATTATGCATTAAATCAATATAAAATTCAAAAACAATTTAACAATGTATTAGATCAAAACGTATTTAAAGTAAATTGGAAACAATACTTTTATCATGCATTAAATTAATACAAGATTCAGAAACAATTTATTGATGTATTAGATCAAAATGCATTTAAAATAAATCAGAAACAATACTTTCATTATGCATCTAATTAATATAAGATTCAGAAACAATTTATTGATGCATTAGATCAAAACGCATTTAAAGTAATTGGAAACAATACTTTCATCATACATTAAATCAATACAAGATTCAGAAACAATTTATCAATGTATTAGATCAAAACGAATTTAAAGTAAATCAGAAACAATACTTTCATCATGCATTAAATTAACATAAGATTTAGAAACAATTTATCAATACATTAGATCAAAATAACTTAACAAAAATAGTTATAAACATTACAATTATTTTAAAAAGGAAATTTATTTAATTGTTTACACTTACTAAAAAAGAAAATCGTTTTCAAAAATAACTCCATTTCGAACTTTTATTTTCCTCTTAATTTCTCAATTATAAAATAAAAATAAGCTAAAAAAGGTTAATTTCTAAATTACGTGGTGATGATGATGATGATTCATCAGGTAAATTTATCTGTTAATTTAAAAAAAAATGTTAATTTTTTAATAAAATATTAAATATTAATTTAATAATATAATAATTATATTAAAAATATAGTTTAATATATATTTTATTAATTTTATTAAAAGAAATTTTAAATTTATAATAAGTTTTTAAATAATTTTAATTTTTAAATTTAAGTTTTAAAATTTTATTATAATAATTTTTAAAAATTTATATGTTTACAAACTAATTATAGTCAACTTTTGTTATAACAAACTCTATGTCCTAGACCTCAACTTTGCTATAAGGCTATAGTAAAGATTTTAAAAGATTTGATTGGCCAATTCGCTATAATAAGAGTATTTTTATTATATTTATTCAAAAAATTCATTATATCAAGAGTTCGCTATATCAAGAGTTGACTGTATATCACTTTATTACTAATAAAAGTTATAAAATTTCTTAATAAATCATAAAAATTATAATAATTAATTATTTTTCATGAGTAATTTTATAATATCCTATTGTGATTAATATTGCTAAAAGTATATGTTAATAAGATTGTCAAAGGTCAATGATAAATTTTTAATAAAAATTTTTAAAAATTACAAATTTTTAGCTTATTAGTAACTTAAGATTATTTATATTAAATTAAACTAGGTAATAGAAACTGTTTGTAAATCTGAAGTATTAACTCATTTTAAATTCACATAATAAAATAATTTAAGATCAGCAGTAAAATAAATGTATGCTATTGACTTAAACAAGAAGTAAGAAACAAATGAACATCTTGTATTATTACATCTAGATTGTAAATAGTTTTATATTATACTTTGGATTAAAATAAAAATTACTTTGATATAATATATATTTATAAAAATTAATTTAATTTTTTATAAAGTAAATCAGAAGGGAATTTTAGTAAATAAGCAGGTTAATTTGCCTGCAAATCTTATAATCTAAAAGATATTTTCTTTTTTATGTAAATATATAATTTTGATTATAATAATTACAAATATTATAAATTACTAAAAAAAAAAAATAAGAAAAAAGTAAAATTAAATACTTACAAACTAGAAATCATAAATCTAAATTATTTTTTAATAAATATTTAGATCATTTTTTATCACAATCTTTAAACCATATTGTATTCATTTATCAATTGCGTACCAATCAAAATTAATAATTATTGTGATATTTCAACCAATAAAATCGCAAGTTTTTAAAAAAGATTAAAACCCTGAAGATATTCATTGATCACGTTGATCCATTCAATAATATCAACATTGAACAAATAACCATTTATATATAAATTTTCCATATAAGGAATGTTTTGTTGTCGATTACGATAGTAAAAAAGAATTATTAATTTTTTTTACCCAAATTATAAGTATATTTTTTTTATTTCGAATCGTCCCTTTACTTTTTTTATTAATATAGTAATTATTGCGAAAAACTTTCAAAACATGTTAGAAGAAGTTAATAATAGTGAAGGAAATGATTTTTATTCAATCACAGTATTTACCTTTTCAACAATATTAAGTTGGTTCTTTTCATTAGTATCTTATATAACCATAACTTTATCCTCATGGATACTACGAATCCTTTCATGGTCGTTTACATTACGATTAAATTTTATCACATTATTAATAATTTTTGTAATCGTGATAACCATAACATATTTAATTGTTAGATATCGTATATTGACGAAATATTCCCGACTTCCAACAGAAACGACAGCAACTAAACAAGGTTCATACGATTTACATCCAGCACATGATGGAGAGAATGTTAGTAATATTAAGCATTATCCTGATGAATTCCTTAGCATGTTTTTGGAAGGTATTAAAATATTTGGATATTTGGAAAAACCAGTTTTTCACGAGTTAGCAAGACATTTGTCTACAAAAAAGTTATTGGCGGGAGAAAGTTTAATGTTGGAAAAAGAAAGAAGTTTTTATATCGTCGTTGATGGATTTGTTCAAGTATTTGTTAAAACGGCTAATGAAGAAGATATTGTATTGGACCCTTTTGAAAGTGATGATTATAATAGAGGATATCAATTATTAAATGAAGTTACTAATGGTGGGACTTTGAGTAGTTTATTCACCATTCTTAGTTTATTCACCGATGATATCGATATAAGGTACGATGATCCCGAACAGAGACAAAATGAAGAAAAGAAGGAAGCGAACGTAAAAGGAGAAAACAATATTGGAGAATACTGTGAAGAAGAAAAGGGAAATAATGAAAAGATTGGAGAGAAGACTGAACAAATTCGCTCACTAGAAGATGGTGGATGGTCAAATGCTCGGCCATCACCGGTTGATACAAAAAGTGAACGGAGTACAAATTCACGCAATTCAGCTTCTTATACAAGACCAAGTATATTACGAAGATTATCAAAGGAATTGGCAAACACATCCGTTAATCCTAATATAACAGCAAGGGCAACAGTTGATACTACATTAGCGGTAATACCAGCAGAAGCATTTCACAGATTAACGGAGAAATTTCCAAAGTCTGTGGCAAATATAGTTCAAGTTATATTGACGCGTTTTCAACGCGTTACACTTTGGACGGGATACAAGTATTTGGGATTAACAAAAGATTTATTAAGAACAGAGAAATTAATGAATGATATAGCAAGTTATGGACTTTCTAAAGATTTCTTTAAGGCGGGAAGTATGGAAAGATTACGAATGAAATTTGTTGGAAATAATAAAAAATATCATCCAAGAGAGATCAGACATCATGATATGGATATGAGCGATAGTGGATTAATTAATAAAGCGAAGAAGACTAAATCATCTTTTAGACCTAGAATCGATGTAATATATGAAAGCGACACAAAGGCTAGTTCATCAATTGGAAAAGGAACAATTAATATTAATAGATATAATAAAAGCAACAACAATAAAAATAATAATAAACCATATTTGGCAACACCTTTATCGCCAAATGCTAAAGCAAAAGTAGAACCGTCCAATGGATCACCTACTAGTCCAACTAGCAGAAAAGATTATGATACAGAAGATGATTTGTATCTTAGAGAATCTGTACTTGAAGGAATTTCAAAGGGTATTGGATTACTACAAAGTAATAACAATAGTCGAAATGCTACTACTGTGACTGGTTGTAATAATCAACAACAGAATTCAAGACATAATTCACTTGATTCAAATACATCACAAGAACTTGGAACTAGTGGTTCATATAGTAGTTTGGCTACTTTATTGAATATTTCAGATGATGATTCGGTGGCGGAAACCATCTCTTCAATGACTAGTGAATTAGATAATGATGTTGAAATATTGTATTATCAAAAAGGTAGTTTATTAGTAGAGGAAGGAGAAAGGAATGTAGGATTGTTCTTTGTCATTGATGGATTATTGGATGTATTTGTCACGTCTAATGAAAATAACTTTCTTAACAAATATTCAAATCTTTCTGCTTCTACAAAGGGTCATCATAAAAAGAAAGATTCTAATAATAATAACGTTAGCCTTAATTCAACTACTACTAAAGACAAGAGTTTATTCATGATTAAACCAGGTGGTTTGGCAGGATATTTAGCTGCACTTACCGGGTTTCATAGTTTCGTTAATATTAGAGCGAGTACAGACACATATGTTGGATATTTATCTAAACAATCATTAAACAGATTAATGGAAAAAAATCCCAACGTATTATTAACATTAGCCAAAAGATTAATCACATTATTATCACCATTATTATTACATATCGATTTTGCTTTAGATTGGGTTCAAGTAAACGCGGGACAAGTATTACATCGCGAAGGAGATTCTAGCGATAGCATTTATATAGTATTAAATGGACGTGTACGTACAATTAATGAGAAAGCAAATGGTATTATTGAAATTCTAGGTGAATATGGACAAGGTCAAAGTGTAGGAGAATTAGAAGTGATGACAGGTGCTCCCCGTCCATATACGCTTCATGCCATTCGTGATACAGAATTAGCACGTATGCCAAGAACGCTATTTAATGCTTTAGCGCTTCGACATCCAGAAATTACCTTACATATATCTCGTATTATAGCATCACGTACGCGAGTACAGCAAGAAACCGATTATAACAATAATGAATTTGGTAAAAATAATACCAATCTTAAAACAGTATGTATTTTACCTGTTAATGGTAACGTACCTATAACAGAATTTGCAGAAAAATTAAAAAATGCATTGGTTAGGATAGGCGAAAATACCACACTATTAAACCAAGAAAGTGTTATTAATGTATTGGGTAAACACGCATTTAATAGAATGGGAAGGTTAAAATTAATTAGTTGGTTAGCTGAACAAGAAGAAAATGTTAGGATTGTATTATATTTAGCAGATGGAGGAAGTAATTCTTCATGGACTCAAACATGTATCAGACAAGCAGATTGTATATTATTAGTTGGAACGGGAGATGATGATTTTTCAATAGGAGAATATGAAAGTTTTTTAATAGGAACAAAAACCACGGCAAGAAAAGAATTGGTTTTATTATATCCAGAAAGGAATTGTACTCCTGGATCAACAAGAAATTGGTTGAAGAATAGACCTTGGATTCATGCTCATCATCACGTATCAATGAGACTTAAGCCACCAATTCTTGATGATAAGTCAAGAAAAAACACATTAATGAATATTAAAGATCAACTACAAAAATATTATCCAAAACGCATACCAAAACGATCACCTGCAATTTATACCGGTAATCGAAGTGACTTTTCTAGACTCGCAAGAAGACTTGTGGGTAAAAGTATTGGGCTAGTATTAGGTGGGGGAGGTGCAAGAGGTATTGCGCATATCGGTGTGATCAAAGCATTTGAGGAAGCAGGAATACCAATTGATATAGTCGGGGGTACGAGTATTGGAAGTTTTATTGGTGGATTATATGCGAGAGACTCTGATAACGTTGCAATTTTGGGTAGAGCCAAGGCATTTTCCGGTAGAACTAGCAGCAAATGGAGACAAATAATGGATTTAACTTGGCCGAGAACTGCTTGGTTTACCGGTCATGCGTTTAATAGGGGTATATGGAAAAGTTTCAGCGATACGCTGATTGAGGACTTTTGGTTATCATATTTTTGTATCACAACTAACATTACTTGGTCACGCATGGAAGTACATAAAGCCGGTTACGCTTGGAGATATATTAGAGCTTCAATGTCATTAGCTGCTTACCTTCCTCCTTTATGTGAAAATGGAAATTTGTTAGTTGATGGTGGTTATATGGATAATTTACCTGTTGGCGTTATGAAATCGATGGGAGCAAATACGATATTCGCTGTTGATGTGGCAAGTCATGATGATACATCACCTGTTTATTATGGTGATAGTTTATCGGGATTTTGGGTCTTATTAAGTAGATTCAATCCATTTTCTAAACAAACTAATATCCCTACGATGACTGATATTCAATCTAGATTAGCTTACGTTAGTAGTGTTAAAACGTTAGAAGAAGCAAAAAATACGCAAGGCTGTTTTTATATGCAATTACCTGTACAACAATTTGGTACTTTAGAATTTAATAAGTTTGATGAAATTCTAAAAGTTGGTTATAAATCCGGTAAAGAAATGATAAAAAAATGGAAGGATGATGGTAAATTGAATCATTTGTTAGATCAGAATAAATCTGATGACAAAAGGAATAGAATTCGTAGAAGAAACAGTGTATAATTCTGGGCAAATTTGGGGATCTAATTTACGATATACGATATATATTTTTTAAACTATTTCAAATATTTAAATGCATATTTCACATTTTTTAATAAATTACCTTATTATAATTAAAACGTTCGTTTTTGGTATTGAAAATGTCGATCATTTTTATGCCGATCGCGCTGCAAATTGCTTTTGAAATGTTTTCCTCATGATGATCTGATAAAGTTGAAAATACGATGTATTCAAATGTAGGTTACAGAGAAGGGCCACAGTGGTTTACTAATGATACTTTACTAACAAACAGACGTTTCTCTGCTCGAGGAGTTAACGTCGAGTCAAGCAAACATCAATTAAGAGGAATTATCAATGCCCTGAAACATGCCACAAAAAGTTTACCTATAGAACAGCAACTCGTCAAATTTTCTGAAATTCCTAAAACGCTTGACGAAACACCTAATCCAGATATCATTCATGGTACTTTGTTGTTTTTCGCAGAACGGTTCAAAGATAGGTTGAGTATTATTCATATATTTTAGTTGAATATTTCAAAAATAATAACTTAACGAATTTCTTTTAAATGAAGCGATCACAATGTAATACGCCGTTGTATCCTTAAAATCCTTAAAGATAGCGAAAAACATATTTCACGAAATTCACAAAGTTCAGAACTTGATCAAACCATAAGAAAAATCTTTTTCTTATTAGAAAATCAAAGTAATGACCCCATTGCACGCGCTCTTACATTACGGTTGGTATTTTCTTAATGATATTTGATCTGATTTATATTCATCGATTAATAATATTTTATTTAAATTAGATGCCTTGGTTGTATGTCGGTTTTATTAATAGAACGACTTGATATACAACATGGGTAAATTAGCATTTATTACTTTTTTTCTAAATCATATTCATTCACGATGTTCAAATTTTTATTTTATTTTATTTTGTAGAATTCTACAACGTTTAGATTCATCTGTTGAAATCGAAGCGAGCGCTGCTATTTTTGCTGCAGACAAGTTATGTTCAAAGACTGAAAAATTCTCAGCTCTTGCTTATGAGAAATTTGTCACATTGCTCCAAGGTATTAGCATATTCTGCAGACTTTTACAAACAATATATTAATTAATTAAAATGAATCTTCATTAATTTATTCTTATTCCATTGAAAGCTAATAATGTTTCCTTGGCCTTCAAGACCAAATTGATACGCGTCTTTCGTCATATGCATCGGGATATCAATTTGGCTCGTAAGGTAAGTAAATTCTAACTCTATGCTTTATCTTTTCTTATTCAATTAATTATAGTTAATTTTTATTATCCAGACAAGAATTATATGCCTTCAATTACTTGAACAATATCCTGACGAAGAATTTATATTGACCATATTGAAAACATTGACATTCTTATCAAATCGTGCACTTGTCGATAGAACCGATCAGGTGAGAAATTATATTCCGAAATTTGTTATTTGAGTGAATTGCAAATATTTGTCTAAATAAGTAAATAAATAAATATTCTTATCATTTCAAGATTTCATTTCCTTAGATTAATTTATTATTCAAATATGTACAAGATGATCCTCGTGAGCGTGTTAAGACGAGTTCTTTAGCATATTTAATTAAAATCGCACAAAAGGATTTGACTTTTGAAACTTCACATGTCTTGGTAAGAACTTCCTTAACTTGATTTCAAAAGATATTATTGTACCTATATTTCAATATTAATGATTTTAATGTTATACAGATACTGTTGAATATAGCGACTAGTGCTGGGGAACTTAATGTCAAAACCAAAGCATTACGTGTTTTGACCATATTGTTTCAACAAACAAGACTTCTTGGTGAAATTGTATCAATAGATACAGAGCAAGAAACTCGTATAGAAGCACTTCATTTTATCCAACAATGTGAAGATATGATACAAGATAAAATCATCGAAGTCAATGTTGTCGCAGTAAAATTAATGTCCGTGATAATTATTGAATCAAAAAGAATTGAATCAATATCAAATATTTTGATTGGTTCAGAATGGGGTGAGCTATGATAATTGATCAGCTAATGAAAATATATGTATTCATAACGTTTACGGAATTTAATTTTTTATAGAAACTTATTTTAGCGATCTCTGTAAAAAAATTGCAAAGTTAATATTGTCGAATTTAATACAATTAGTATCCTTTAATCAAAATGAGCGCGACAAATATGTTAAGATGGTAAATGTTTTAAATTATAATAATATTATAAAACACTTTTTTTAACAAACAATTTATTTAATTTTAGATACAAGAATACTTGAAGTGTTTATTTTCAATTTGTCAGGCTGATAACGATTTAATCAAGGATATTTCTAAGATGGTTATCAATGTATTACAAGATTACATTGAATCTAATGATGGTAATTTTTTTAATTTTAACTAAATGTTTTCGAAATTAATCTAAGTAAATTTTTTTTTTAATTAAGACGAGATATTTGCTCAACTATCCAAGTTTTTCATGAAGATTGCCGAATATAAAGGCTCATTAATACAAGAGTTAAGAGATGATATATTTTCCCTTATGAAATGTCACGAGCTTATTGATATGACTCGTTCTTTCGTAAGTTTTTTATGGAAGCCTTATTTTGTTATAACTATATTTATAGAGATTAATTTCTATTATATATCCCATATTTTCTTAGACTATGTTGGCAAAGACAGTTTTAAAAGTCCGTCCTGATAATGTAAAACAAGCAAGAGAATTTAAGGAATCTTTCATGGAAAGAATCAATCGATTTGGAAACCTTCAGGACGGAAGATATATACAGAATCAATGGGATATTTATTTAATTGGACTAGAAGCTGGAAAATCCGGATGTTGTTCGATTATGGGTGCCATAGTGTTTAATTTTGTAAACGAGGTAACTTATTTATTGCAATTAATTTTTTTTTTTTTTTTTTTTTGAGAATTTTCAGTAAAACCTCATTTAGGTGGATGTCGAGGCGCATCGGTTTTGGCTTAGAGCATTGAGTAATGCGTCAAACGCTGAACAAATGATTTTGGATAATATCGATAAAATCCAAAGTCAGCTTGATCTATTTGATGAAGGCGTTAAGTACTATTCGAAATGTGATACTGAATTAAGTGTTTGTAAACATAACTTTATCTTTTTTTTTTTCATTTTTGTAATTATTTAATAGACAGCATTATTCAACTTTATTTTATAGGGCTTGATGTCTTTGATTGATAATAATGGAATTCGTGTCTTTGGAAAATGGTTTTGTCAACTTAGAGCAAGGTTCTTTTCCACTATGAAGCTTATTCTAGCTCAGTTAAATTTTTTGTCTTCAAAAACGCCGGGATTATTTGATCCTGAAATTGTATGTATTTTATTATTATCATTTTTTCAACGATTTTGACGTTTTGTTAAATATTAAATGTGTTAATTTTTGTTTTTTTTTAAAAAAAAATATATGTATAATTAAGGTCAAGATAAATGAATCTTTAGTATTTTTGGCTTGTATGCACAACTTTGTGGCACATTCTTTCTTAGATATTGATTCCGAAAGTTTAGAAATTCTAGAATCATATCAAATATGTTGCTTGGTGTTATCATATGCTATACAGTGTCTTCTATTTCAAAGGTATATTTTAATTATAAATCAGTAATGGATTTCTGTATTAACTTATCCTCATTTTTTATTAGGGAAGAATCTATTGATCCTTTACTAATTCCATTGATTCGGCTTGCACGTTGTAACATGAATGATACCCTTTCTAGACAAGTTAATGATATGAATTTACGAAAAAATAAAGTACAATATGTATTACGGTCAAGATGTGTTGAAATTTTAAAAGATATAGAGATGATTCGTCGTAATAATGAATCAATTGTAAGAATTATTAAATTGAAATAATTCATTTAAAAAAGATAAAATTTTTATATAATGTTTTTATTTATTTATTTATAGAATATAGTAGAACGATTAAGTAAATTTGTTCTTTTCATTTTAAGTGTTCCGATAAATCTTCCACCATTCTTCTTTGAAAACAAAAAAGGAACTTATATTAAGGTACGTTTTAGTTGAAAACGTTTTATTTAACCAATCGGTTGTTTATTTAATCTTCAATAATTTAAAATAGTGGAGTAAAGTACCTGCGTTAGGATGGAGTCAACGTGGAAGCAGAGTTTCTTCAACGACCATATCAGACAGAGAGAAAGTTGTTATTAAATTAGAAGGAATTTTGAAATTAGCTAAGAAATCAGGTAAAGTTAATTAATTACATACATAACATACAACTTTATTTATTTTAACTTAATCTCTATTATCATTGTAGCCAAGAAACATTTAAATAACATTCAGTTTATTATTTTTGGGTCAAAAGCTGATATGTTTGAGTTTGAAGAATTTGAAGAGACGTTACAAGGGAATTTCTCCTTTTCTAATTTAGCGTTGGATTATAAAGGAGGGTATTCGAAAAAATCCAAGAAGGTATTGTTAGTTTATTTATTTACTAAAATTTTTATTAAGATCCTTAATATATATATATATATTTTTATAGGATTCCTCAGAAATGTCTACCGTTACAACTATTTCAGTGCCAATTACCAATTATTATTTTACCACCACCGCTTTAGTTCAATTTCCTAGGGATTCCGATAGTATTGGATTTCTTAACGTTCATACTAGAATCGTTGACAATAAAAATATCGTATGGACGATTGGTCCCGATTTGTAAGTAATTAAAATTATTTATTTGTTGTTGGTTGGTTATATGCATTCTAATAAACTAATATTTCATAGAATAATATCTCCCCCTCCAGAGTATCAAAATAATAATCAATATTAAAAAATATGTTTTTAGTTAAATGAATGATGAGTGATGAACTTATCATTATTAATTATAAGTTGAACGTTTTCGATATACAATATATGTAAAAAAAAAAAAAAAAAAGGTTGTTTGAATCCAAACTTTCATATTCAATTTTTTATTTCATTATTTGATACAATTGTTTATTTTATATTATTTACGTACGATTTTATATTGGTTTGCCTCGCTATAATTATTGTAATGATTTATTGCATAATATTTGATATTTTTACGTTTCTTTTTTTAACAAAATGAATCTAAGGCGCAGAAAATAATAATTTTATTCTACTATCGAACGTTTTGGACGTAATTATTCATTCGTATAGGTTCGTTCCAATTTTCCTGAAAGTTAGGAGAATACCTAATGATTTGTATTAAAAAGGTTAAATAAATCTAAGCAAGCCACTAAATAGATAAATAAACAAAAGAAAAAGGACGTTCTCGCTAAAGCGAGGCCACGAAGTGCTTCCAGTTCTCCCTCCATTTATTCACCTAAATAATGGGCAACTATAATGGAAAAACATTTGACCATAAAGATAGAACTATTTCCTTAAACGCTGCCGATTAAAGTAGATAAACATTGACAATACAAATAGAGAAGGACGTTCTCGCACTTGGTTCGGAAGTAACTCGCTAGACATATCGATTTTTGTATTGCAAAGGAAGACATAACCAATTCCTTCTTGAGAATTAGTAGACCTTCACCAAAAACAAACATGCTAAACTGACTACCTACTAGAGAGGAGGCCACGAAGAGCTTCCGGTTCTCTACCATACTGTTTTCAATTTTACCTAAGTGAACCAACAATGACGCAAGTTTAATAGACTAGTTCGTCCAAAATAATTTCTTACCTAAAGTAAACGATCAGTCCATTTTTATCTTGGGTTTTTGAAGTCGAAAGACATTTTAACTTACTTCAAGTTTATAGGGGGGGAAAAACAAAACAAAAAACAAGTATTAAGTGTGAAAAAAAAAAAATTTGAATTTGAAATACAAAAAGGGAGTTTTTATAATCTTTTGAGTTACGCGTTTTGACACGTATGAAAAAATAGTTTAACAAAAAGGACGCGCTATAAATATATAAAAAAGGTTACTTTTTTGTAAATACTTTTTATTTTTCTAAATATATTTACGTAACACAAAATTGGTAATAAACAAATCCACAAATTTCATTCGTCGAAATGTTTTAATTGGATATCTGGATTATGGATTTACGTAACCGCTATTTTTTTATAAATGTTGCAGAAATTCAAAATGAATAAAGGACGTCAAATCTACAAAGCGTACATTTCAAACGTTTTATATAAAAGAAAGCACTTATCATTTTTAACAATGTTTAAATTAATTATTTCCGATTACCTTCAACAAAAAAAAGCTTGATAAAAGATATCATTCCGATTTACGTCGTTTCATGAATCTTTGCCCAACCGTTGGGAGCAATCATAAATTTTACAATCATCATCTTCTTTCTAATTAATACGAAATTGTCAAAGATAATATCTCTCGTATTATAATTATCTTCTTTTAAATTTTTTTGATCGACAAGTACACCATCCAAATTTGTTAAAGTTTTAATTTATGTTGTGCACGTAATGTAACCTTAAATGTCGACCGATTTGCATAAATAAAAGCACCAACCTTTTCAAAAAAGAATTTATGGACATGGCAGAAATACTTTTACAAAGTTCAATGGTCATTGGGCCGGTATTAGGATATTTTGATCAAATATCCAAATTTCGTAAAACTAAATCGAGTGCAGGATTTTCTTTAGATACTAGTGGAATATTGTTAGTTAGTAGGTAAGATAATAAGAATAACAAATAACAAATGAGAAGTGTCATAACGTTAATTTTTAATTTTTAATTTATTTATTGTTGATAGCATCATTCGAGTCTTCTTTTGGTGGGTTTTACCTCTTTAAAGTTGATCAGAAAAATTCGTTTTCCTGTCCTTTTTAATACATTTATTATATCGTAGGTTCGGAAAAAGATTCGATGATGTATTATTATATCAAAGTATCATGATGATAATCACACAATTAATAGTTTTATATGAGAGTGTAAAATATCGTTTGCCGTATTCTTCTTTATATAATCCAAAACAAAGACAATTTTGGAATTGGAGTCATTTAGGTCCATATTTAACTTTTCTTGGATTATTAGTCGGTGGTTTATCAATTTCTTATTTAGCGTTGGGTGATCAATATTGGTTTATTGAACTATTAGGTTTTGCGGTATGAATTCTTTTTTGAATGCGAAAAATAAAAACAAGAAAAAAAAGTTGATAATTTTTTTTTGTAGGCACTTGGTATCGAAAGTACTGTTCCTATGCCACAAACGTTACAAAATTTTCAAAAAAGATCTGTAGCAGGATTCAGGTAAAAAAATTTTTTTTTTTAAAAAAAAAAAATTAAGATGAAAATAATAACCATTAAAATTCCAACAAATTTTTTTTTTTTCCCCTTAAAGTCCGGCTATTTTATTAACATGGTTTTTTGGAGATGCATTTAAAGCATTTTATTATACTCATACAGGAGCACCACTTCAATTTATTCTCTGTGGAGTTGTGCAATTAATGGTTGATTGTATTATCGTTTTTCAATTTATTTCTTTTCAAAGATGATCGTATTAAAAATTTTCAGATATGCTGATCGAAATAAATATGTCTTTGTTATGAACATAAATTTTTGTGATTTTGCAGCAATAGTGATCGTTCAGATACGTAACGAAAGCTAAGCAATACATATTTAGGATAACAAGACAAACCGACGTGATCTTCAAGCGATTATTACAAGTACCAACAGCTTTTTAGCATTAATGATATGCATTACAAAGCTAAACCCGCGACCATGAATAGTGTCGCACGAGTCAAAGATTTTTGATTTCCTTAATCCATAACCGTCCCATATTGATATGATCGTCTCTCATATGATTATTTTTACATGTTGAATTTTTAAACAAAGTTGGTTAAAATTGATTTCAAAGATTGATCGCTATCGCTGTTTAAAATGTTTTATAATCTGATTGTTCAATGGTTAATGTTCTATCAACGATAAAATTTAAAAGGATTGCGACATTCTCGAACAAAAGTTCTTATAATATATATATATACAGTATAAAAAAAAAAGACAATGCCATTAACCATTTTAGTAGGGTTTTTGCTTTTTTCAATATTTATCTTTTGTCATAATGTTCTCGGTAAGAACTTATGTTTGAGTAAATTAAAATCTTTTTATTAAGAATACGATCCATTTTCATTTCAATTTCATTTCATTTCTTTTTTTTTTAAAAAAAAAGCGCAACCATCGGAGCCAATTTGTGTGGGACATAGAGGATATCCGGATAAATTTCCGGAGAACACACTAAAGTCACTACAAAAAGCATTAATTTACGGAGCAAATGCGTTAGAATCCGATGTTCGATTTACAAAAGACGGACAAGTTATCATGATGCACGATAATATTCTTGATACGACCACAAATGGTACGGGATTCATCGATGATAAAAATTGGTATGGTTATATTGAATATTTAAATAGTGATAATGAATCGATACCAAGATTTCAAGATGTTTTGGATTTATTAAAACGGGACGAAAATGTTGATGTCTTCTTAATTGTTGATATTAAGGTAAACGATGATAGTCATACCACCGATACCCAGAAATGTTCACACACACACACACACTCTCTCTCTCTTTTCTTCACAGGAAGATAACAGGATTGAAATCCTTGATGCGATTGCCGACATAATTCACTCCAATGCTCCATACAATTTCTCATCACAATTATATCTCGGTATATGGACACCAGAATTTCTCATGAGAGCTCGTAAAGTTCTCCCAGAAATTCCAATTGCTCATATAGGCAGCGATATCGATGAGGCACGTAAAACGTTCCTTGAAGTGGAAAGTTTTAATATAGAATATCCATACATCTTATTAGATGAAACCGGATTCGCTAAACAAATTAAAAGCTGGGGTAAAAAATTATTTGTTTGGACTTTAGATGATCCAAATGATATCAAAAAATGTTTTGAAATTGGCAATATTGATGCCATTCTAATCAATGATCCTATTAAATGTATTAATGCCAAGAGAGATTTTGCCAGGAGAAGAAAATTTTGGAAGTCCCCTTTTTAATCATTTTTATTCCGATTTGAACTCGATTAGTTGATCCTTGTAAAAATGTTTTTTTCATTTACCGTATATTCAAAATTTCTTTTCTTGTAAAAATCAAACATGTCATTAATAAAAGTTGGTGTGATGAATTATTGCATCCCTTTGGAATTAATGAAATATTTCGCCCAATGAAATTCGTTAATTTGAACATATGGTTACATATGTATGACATCATCTATAGTTATCGTTCAGCTATTAGGACATTAGGACTATGCGACGAATTATTATTTTGTAATGTCTCATGGTTTGTCATGGTTTTAGTATTTGTCGCATTAGTCATATAGTCGTAATGATTGAACGATAACCAATTTATTGGGGAGGGGCTATATTGATCAAAAGTCCGATATAATGACTATAATGAATATAATGACGCCCCTATCGAATAACTAAATAATATTCATCATAAAAGCAATTTAATCATTGCGAATTTCGTTGCCAAGCTTGTATTATTATACATGTATTGTGTTTGAGTTTCTTCGGAATTATGTTATAAAATGCATAGGGTCATTAGGATTACAAAGGATACGTCACATTCGAATAAAATTCTCTGAATCCGAAAAACCTTTTCGTTATAATAC